GCCGGCGGGCGGGCGGCCTCTCGCCTCGGCTGCCAGCATCCTTCCCCCAGCTCCGACACTCCTCCGGTACCGCGGCTCTGCCTCCCCTCGCACTGATCCCTCTCGCACCTCAGCATCTCCCCCCCCTCAGGTACCCGGCGCCCTTCGCCCCCCCCGTGTCGGTGATCGGCCGCGCCTTGACCTGCCTTCGCTTTTACCCCCTGCTACCCAGCACCCTCCTTCCCCCATTTGGGATCTCCACGGGTGCTCCAGCACCCTTCCCCTCACTGTGACCGTCCGCTGCCTTTCCCCGCGGTCCCCCCCCACCAACTCGGCCGCCCTGACGTTTTCCCCCAGCTCACTGCCCAGGAACAGCTCGGAGTCTTCCTCCCGTGATCCTGGGGCGATTCCTATGCATTGCAACCCCCTTCTCAGTCGATACCTATTTTCTAAGCCTGAAAATTTGTGCGTGTAAACCATTATTAAAGGTATTAGTGGGTTGAGTTCGGTTTGTTTGCTTTGTGATGTTTGTGGGTTGTTGGGGTTTTTTTTTGCCAGTGTCCTAGGATCAGATTGTAACTTTAGATGCTGATTTAAGTGACCTCTTTTCTTTGCTACTATATTGGCAGTACCTCCCACAACTCCTCCAGTGCACGTACTGTTCATATGCCACTGATTTAACGTGTTACTTCACATTTTGCTTAACCCAGTATGTTCTGTAATTCCATGTGGTGTTCTTGCAGAGCTTTCTTAATTTTACGCTGCGTTTTGTGGCACTTGGGGTTTTTTTTTCCCCTTATGTGCTAGAATTCCATGCTTAGTGGTATCTTTTGCAGCCATTTTCCCCGTATTTTTTCATTATTTCTTGTCTCCAGTTTTTTCTTCCCCTGATTACTCTTGCGTTTCTTCCAATTGTATCTATTTTCTCTGGGATTCTTGTTGAGTTGGGAAAGATGTGAATAACTTTAACCCAGAACTTGGGTCCTGATTCTTTTGTTCTGTGACCTCTAGGCTTGTGACATGGCCACAGATGTAGCTGAGCCTGTGGTCCCTGACTGCAGAGGAGACGTAAGGAGCGGTGCCAGGTCAGATGCTGACTATCCTCTTCGGGTTCTCTACTGCGGAGGCAAGTGCTGAAGGGGCAGTTGTCTACGATTCTTACAATGTGCTGTTTGTGAGGGCAGCCTGACAGAAAGGAGAATTGGGGACTTTCTTTTGGTTAGCTCTTATTGAGAAGCTCGACCGTGGTCAGCTTGACCTTTCTGATTGTCTTTCTGAAATAGTTCATGTTATGTATTTTATCTGAAGCTTTTTTGGTGAAATGTGGGGGTCTTCCCTCTGAGAGATGGAAGTACTAACAACTTTGTGTTCAGAAGAAGTGGGAGTGGTGCTCAGGTTGTGAACTGTTGAGCAGAGGTATCTTCCTGCAGAAAGCCAGTAAAGCCTTTAGCACAGAAAAGGCCTCTGAGCATTAGTATAGCAATAAGAAATAAAGTCAGAATTTATGAAAGTAATTGTTGCACTGTGTTTAGAATTATTCTTTCCTCATTACATTTGTAGCTATGTGAATGAAATTTAACGGAAAGTAAATAATCTTGACAGGTTGGGGTTTTTTTGAAAGGTTTGTTATTTTGCTTTCTGCTTGAATATGGTTGCAGGGGATTAGGAAAGAATCCCTGTTGTGCATGGAAGTCTGCACAATTGGTTTGGATTTGTTCTGGGGCTGAGCCCCTTTTCTGGACATTGGCAGCTCTTGGAAAAAGGAAAGCTAACCAAATCACGTGGTGATTTATTAGGTAAATCTTTTGCCTCAGGTAGAACCGGTGTTTCTTTCTGTAACTTTTCCCAAAGCAAGCATCTCCTTCCCTTCCAGGCTACTCTGGCTGTGATAGTGTTAGCCTAATGCAGAGCATCTGAGCTAATGAGAGAAAAATTAAAATGTGGATGGTATCAATAAAATAATAATTTTGAGTCAATGTGTGGTTACAACCAGAAGTTACGATGTAAGAAATCAACCCTAACTTTAAAATACCATTTTGAATTTAATGCTAAGGCTGTAAGAGGAAAACTTTTTGTAATCTCTTCTTTTTTTCCCCCCCCTCCCTTCTTTCTCCAGTCTGTTCATTACCAACAGAGGTGAGTTAATTTTTTTGTTGTCTAAGTTTCTTCTTTCTGTCCTATGATTCCTGTTTGATGATTCTTTCTGATCTTTTGTTAATTGTGGCAGTTCTGTGCTTCAGCCTTTGTCATCTTTGGGATGACACGAGGTTTCTTGTGCACTAGTTTAGTATTTGTATTCAGTTATCTTAAGGAGAAATAGCCAAGCTGAATAGCAAATACATTTTGGTGTATTTGTGATGTATTTTGAAGTTACTCTGCTAACAACATTCATATGTCCTTTCTCCTCTAGTACTGCGAATACATGCCTGATGTGACTAAATGCAGACAATGGTTAGAAAAGAATTTTCCAGATGAGTTTGCAAAACTTACAGTAGGTAAGAATCTTTTCTATTTTCGAACTGATATGTGCCCTTAGACATATTCAGAAGTCTCTGAGCTTATCCAGTTCTGATCTCTTTCCTTTTTCTGCTGTATCAAGTGTGAGAGTTAATAATTTCCTTAGGAGTCTACCATGCTTTTGGATACTGTGAAAATATGTTTGATGATGTCAGAGAACACTGAATAAACAATGTGTAGATTCAGAAATAATGTTTGAGCTTTCTTAAGGTTCCTGCTGTAACCAGTCATCCATGTACTTGTTTCCCATCAAAGTTAGTTTATGAGAATTTATGTGTGTGCAGTCTACTGTGGATGGCTGGAGGAAAGGACATTAATCACAGGGAACTTGCTGATTTGCGTTTGGAATGTCAATATTAACATTATTAACTTCTCTCTGTGGAAATTATGTGAGGAGACTGTATTGAAATTGTAGCTGCATCTCTGAGCTAAGGCAAGTCTAATTTGCATAAGTACCATCGTGAAGATGTAACACACATCAGTCACGGGGCTGCTGCACTTAAACAAAGAGTTTATGGATTTTGCAAAATATCCCTGTACCTTTCTTCCTTAAGGCTGTGGTTGTCTTACCGCTAATTTTGTTCTCATTTCTTCTCCCTGCTCCTTTCTGATGCATTGAAGAAAATTCACCTAAACAGGAAGCTGGGGTTGGAGAAGGCCAAGGAAATGCAGGAGAAGAAGAAGAGAAGAAGAAGCAAAAGAGAGGCAAGGTCTAAATAGTTGATTGTGGTACTGATTTATAAGGAGTTTGAGGCATCCCTTTCTCACCTGCTGATCAGGACTATATCACAGATTCCTTGCATTTTGGTTGTTAGCTACACTTTGACTCTGCACAGAAGATACCAAATATCTTTCTTCCAGTGGTAACAGAGTTAGTGCAGTGATTTATGCTGGTGGAAGAATTGGATAGTAGTAACAGCAAGTGAAAGATGACCTGCATCATGTGTCTCGTTGTTCTGTCATTACTATTGCCCCTATTCAGGGAGTAATTCTTCTCAACCTAAAATCAGCTGGCATGCCTCCCAGAATACTTGTTTCTGCCCTGTTTAACAGCAGTTTATAGGTTGCTTGCAGAGAGAACAAAGGCTTCTTTCCTCTATTAATGCCACATGACACTGCTTTTGCCTTTTTTCCTTCCACCCCTCCTCTGTATTCACGTAACAGGAGTTGGTTTTATGCTTTTAACACTATCGTGTATGTCTTCATTAACAGCTATGTCTCTTCCTATCCATGCTAGTGAAAAACATTTTCAAAAACCAATTTTGGAAGGTATAAAATACATGAAGCAATTTAAACACAATTTTATCTTCTATCGTTGGGAGTTCTTTCTGTTTAATTAACATACTTTCCCCCATAAATCAAAATGCTGGTGCTGTTAATATGCATCTGCCTGTAGTGTCAGTTGGATCTGTAGTGCTTCAGAAATTATGGTTAATAGCCCAATAAGATTCAGATTTTTAAGCCACATATCACTGCAGATGTTTTATTTTTGTGTCTTGGTAACCAGTTGTATTTACCTTATCGGTAGGCTGTGCGTAGTGACAACAGTAATTTACGTTCTGTAGCTTACATGCCTTTCCCAGAGACTTCAGGACATTTTGTTTCAACATGAATTTATTGTGTGGTGTGGTATGGTTAGTTTACAGTCCAGGTTTTGGTTCTAAAATAGGAAGTGTTTAAAATATTTAGGGATTTTCTCCTAGAGCCTAAAATTTCATGAAAGCTTACAGTATGGTGTTACATATGATGGTATAGGATTGACCGTAAGAGAGGAGGGTAAGGAAAAACAAGCAAAAACTTACTAAGACACTGCAGAAATTTACTGAATATATTTTAAGACAGAAATTTACTGTCTTAAATTATCAGACGTCAATTTAGAGTAGTGTAGAATTGAAAGTGCTGCATGTTACGAAAAAAAGTGTAGTCACGAGAGGTTAGTTTGCTTGTCATAAATTCTTGAGGTTTTCATGCTGAGAAGTCTCAACATGGAGCTTTGGTTACCCTGGAGTAACTTGATGACTGTATACCAAATTAACTGAGATCTTAATCTGATTTGAAAAATCTTAATAAGTGGAATTTATCTTTTGCATGCTTTGCTCAGACTAATAAATGCCTGATATGTGAAATGCTCCCTCAGGTTGGCCTAGAAACAGCAAGAAAGATGTTAAATCATGTGGAATTTTGGCAGTCAACTACTGTAGCTGACTTCTGTTTCAGAAGTAATTGTAATATTGAGCTTTGATTACGTTGGACCTTTCTTAAATAAAAATAAAAAACCCCTGAATGTGAGACAATGTGCAGAGTAGATCTGTTTACCAACACAGATGAGAAGAAAACAGTTTGTTTATAGGGATGAAATCTGACTTTATATGCTTTCTTCAAGTATGACATCATTTAACTAATTATGTAACCTTGTACTCTCTTTTAAAGGTGGAAGAGGTCAGATAAAACAGAAAAAGAAGACTGTACCACAGAAAGTTACAATAGCTAAAATTCCTAGAGCAAAGAAAAAATATGTCACAAGAGTATGTGGCCTTGCAACGTTTGGTGAGTTGACTTTTGTTATTCATTTTTTTTCATTTGCTTTAGATGTGCTTGCCTTTAACCTCATGGTATTCCTTCTGATTGTATTACATTGAGCGATGTGCTTCCGTCTGTGCGAGTTGGCAGTCCCGGGGTGCTTTTAGCAGTTCCAAAGCATGACAAAGGTACACTGGCTTCCCTCAGTGATAAGTTATTAAAGTCTTTATTTCCATGGTGTTTACAAACAAACAGGGTTGCAGTTTATTTTTGGAACAGGGCTTCCAATAGCAGTCCACTTGTTAGACTTCAGAGTAGTCTATTCCCTTTAATTAGAAGCACGTTTCTTTTCAAAAAGATGCTTATTTCCATCAAACTTGTAGCTATGTTCCTGACAATTATTTCTACCTATTCTTGAGACTGATTAAGTAAGCTTTAACTGCCTTTCTAGTACAGCAGTCAAATCATTACCAAAGTACGCTAACAATGCTGTCCTACATAGCTTTGGTTCAGCTGTAAACAGCCCCGTGGTGTTTATATCTATAACAACATCTTACTTCACACTCTGATCATGAATTCTATTAAAAAGGTAAGGTTTCACCTTGGTTGTACTAACAAGATACCTAACATATTTCCTGGATGAGAGTGTCATCAGTTTTCTTGAGGGATTGGTAGTAGGCACTGGGTCGATCTGAACTGGATGTGCATCTTTGTGCTGGAAGCCAATCTCAAGAATTGTTGGTACATGTTTCTGAAAAGAACATACCGAAGCACTTCTGTGGAGAAACTTGTTCAGTGGCTGTGGGAGTTACTCAGAAGTGGAGGTGCTTTTTAAACAGTTTTACATGTGCTTTTCTGCTGAGTGCGTGTAGCATAGACCTGTGTAAACAGAATGTGTTAGGGGACATTCAGCAATTTTTGCTTTAAGAGTTTGCTAGATTTGTGGAGTCAGTTGTTTTGTATGTAAACAGCAGACTTTTGCTTTCAGTGGAAATGGTAGCAAAGCTTTAACTGTAAACTGCCACTAGTTTTTCAACAGTAAAAAAAAAAAGATTTTGGTTTTAAACTTGAGAAAATACTGTACTTAAACTGTCCATTTTTCCCATCAACAGAAATTGATCTTAAGGAAGCACAAAGGTTCTTTGCTCAGAAATTTTCCTGCGGTGCCTCAGTAACAGGAGAAGACGAAATCATCATTCAGGGGGATTTTACAGATGACATTATCGATGTAATCCAGGAGAAGTGGCCTGAGGTAACAAACCTTTCTTCTGCCAAAACTCTGGTTTTCCACGGCAGCCTGTGACTTTCCAATGGTTTTGAAAAAAGGGTTTCATCTTCGGCAGCACAGATTGTCGTGCAAAAATAAGAGACTGGTTGATGCATTCCCACCTATGAATGACTAGGTTAAGGAGTGATTAAACTTGAAGTCAGACGTTGCTTCTGTCGTCCAAGAAACATTAATTCTCATGCTGTTACTGTGGATATGACAGTGAGGAAGGCATGTCAGGCTAAGTCCAACTGTCAGATATCTGTGGCTCCTTTGTGACTGTTTATAATGGTGAATACTTAAGTATTCTTACATTGCCATCCTCTTTTTCAAAATCTAAAAAGATTGCAAAAATTAAAAGAAAAAAACAAAACAAAATCCCCAAACCACTTGTACTTCAGAAGAAGAGATGAGCTAATTTGGGGCTGGTTGAGGGGTTTGGTTGCGCTGTTGTAATTGGAAGCGTTTTCTTTGACTCTCCCTTGTTGTGGTATTTCTGGTATTGGAGTTCTTTCTGGAAGAACTCTGTAGGCCTGTCTTTACTCAGAGCACTCTAGGTTTGGCCATGTCCTATAGGCAAGTGTCACTTGCATGGAATTTACAGCAAAGAATCTCAGATGGTGCTGTATACTTCTCCCACACTTCATTAAATGTACGGTGGTGAATACTGAGTGAGATCTGTAAGAAGAAAATATACTTAACATGCTGTGCTTTGGCCTTTTCTTTTTCCCTAGGTGGATGATGATAGCATTGAAGATCTTGGAGAAGTCAAGAAGTGATAGTGAAAGACTACCTTTATTTAATGATATGGTTATAAATGATGTAGCCAAAGTGAGGCTTCTAAATCCATTTGCTCTGCAGTGAAACTGTAGAGAACCCGTATCCTTGGCATTTTCACTGTTCTGTATAGGCTGCTTGTTGGTTTTTTTTGTTGTGATATTTGCCAAAGTTAAATTGGGGTTCTATCATGCTTATGCATGAAGTAGATTTAAATAAAATTACTGTTCCTCACTGAATATACAGTTTCTGTTTTCTTTATGGCTGCTTTCCTCTAACAATCTTACAGTAAAATAATAATTTAAGTCATTAAAAGCTTATTTTTCATCTGCTGTCCTTTCTGCTGACCTTAAGTGAATGAAGCATGTGGCTAATGTAGAGAAATTCATACCTCTGATTTACCTGTATATAATTTCAGAAATCAGAATGAGAGAAACATTTTTAAAAGTTTGTTAACAAAGGAAAATGAATCCTGAAGGGGTCAGGCAGTTGGACTAGATGATTGTTGAGGTCCCTGCCAACTGAACTATTTTATTCTATTAAGTGGAAACCCTGAGGAACACGTGAGTATGCCTGAAATGTTTAGCCAGTTTTCGTAATTCCAAACAATCTGACCCTTCTGGTCTAGGTGAGGCAATTTTAGTGGCTTGATGCTTTTTGCATACAGCTAGTTCAAGAATGGTGGTAATTCTCACAACTTCCTAGTGACTGCTGTTTGTTTCCCCAAACCGTGTTCAGGCTGCGGGTCGGGTGGGGTGCCAGCTCTGCTGCTCAGCTTCTCCTTGCTCCTGCCAACAGCCTCCAGCATCAGTCTGGTGCTTTGTTATTTCACTGTGCAATTTAATAACATTAGATGCTCCCAGGTGGCAGAGTCTTGGATCTGACATTCTCCTGTCACTGTGAGGTTAAATCCAAGGGGGTGATGCATCGTACACCCTGTCCTCTACCAGTAATATTCTTTTTTTTCAGTGATTTTTGTTTATAAGCTGACGGGTTTAGTTGGGAATGGTCTATCAAATGAGGCAACTGTCTCTGCAGTTGTTCTGTTTAGAAGCTGAGCGGAGTGGTTACCTCCATGCTGTAACATCCAGTCGGGTTCTGACTCGTCTCCTGTTACTAATTTTTCACATGATTAATTCTCTCCTTGTCCCAGGCCGCCCCAGCCCCGCCGGCGGGGGCGGGACTCGAACCCTCAGCCCAGCGCCGCGGGGCTCGGG